GGAGTGGCGGTTGCGCGGCGAATCCATCGCGGTGAAGACGCAGCGAGCGCGGTGCCCACGCAGTGATGGCGAAGGCCCGGGTCATGTCCCGATGTGGCGTGCCCCGCCCCTGTTACGCCGCCCCGCCCCGCCAAACTCATCGGGGAAAAATGTCGCCTTCCGCCCCCTTGATTCGGACCGGGCACGCGAGGCGGCTCGGCTATCCGTCTCTAGTCTTGTCGGATATAAAGTTATTAAATGAGAATTACTTCTGGCATGTATCGGGGCGGCCCTCCGCTACCCTCCGCGCCGTTCCGCGGCACCGTGCGCAGTCACGGGGGTCTCGGAGCGGCCTGGCCCCGAGCCGCGCCGCGCGCGCTCCTCGCCCCGAGCCGCGCCGCGCGCGCTCCTCGCCCCGCTCCTGAATCACCTTATCAAAGAGTGAGGCCGCGCATTGTTGGCGGCAGCAGCCCGATTCCGTGAAGAGTGGGTTCATCGCTCCGTCTCTCTCGCTCTCATGGGGTGTCCCGCAGACGTGCGAGAGAGACAGAGCGACGAAACCGCTCCTCGCGGAATCCGGCTGCAGCCCCGGCCACCCTGGCAGCGAAACACGGCAAGGCGAAAGGCCGCGCCACTTAGGGCACCTCGCCCCGCCCCGCCCCGCCCGGCTCCTCGCCGCAGAAACCCTTTCAGAAGACGGCCAAAGTGATTCCAACGTCATGAATTGGGAAGCATTTCTTTTTTGCCCCCTCCCCTTCCCCTCCTTCTCCGGCACGACAATGCCCTGCACTGCCACCTCCCCCTCCCCTGCCTGGCCCGACTTGCTCGCGCCCCGACCGTTTTTCACCCTTTCCCTTATCCTATCAAATTTTTAGCAAGTGGTCTCACCGGAGAGCGGCCGGGCTGGGCCAGGCTGGGCCCGCGCGGCGGCAGCGTGCGAATCGCGTGATTTACGAGGCCAGGCTGCTTGCTGCTGCTGCTTCGGGGCTTCGGCAGGGCGCCGCCACAGGCAGCCAGAGGCCGCAGATATCACCGCCTTGTAAACAGGTCCATGATCACGTCGTGACTTGTGTAGCCTCGTGGAGGTCCTGGAGGGCGGAGGCTTGGCGGAGGCGGCGCAGCACGCCGTCGCGGCGTCGCAAGCGGCGAGGGAGGAGAGGAGGGTCCCTTACACGTAAACCGATTTGTCCGGGGCCACTGCAGCAGGGCAGAGAGATCAGAGATGTCAGAGAAACGCGAAAGAAGGAAACGTTATAGAAACGTAACCTATAGTATCCTATAGGTCCTATACAAAAAAAATTATCGACAACAGCAGAAGCACCGTGAAATTTTGTTACGGCAGGGAGAGCGGTGTAGTGGTAGTACTGGCCGAGCCAAGACGGCCCACAGACCCGCGGCGTGCATCTTGCATGCCGCTCTTTAATTATCCATCTTCATTGGCTAATGGAGTAATTGGAGTTCGCGCGGAAACACGGAACACGGAGCGGCCGGGCAAAGCCGGGCGCAGCCTCCCCCTTCTTTTAGTAATTGCGGAGTGCAAGGGCGAAGACACGGAGCAAGCTCCATTTATTTTTGATTTTTATGCCCGCTGGAAATTATGTATGCTTTCCTTTTCCCGGATTTTGTGTTATGTTTTCGCTGGCGGGCTCCAGCACCAGTGGGCTGGTTCCGAACGTCGCTCTGTCTCTCTCGCGCTCTCCGGACAGGCAGGGGAATAGGGGTGAGAGAGACAGAGCGTCCAAAGACTGTCTTCGGAATCGCTCTGCAGCCACCCTTTTCATTGTTTGTGTCCATGATTTGTACCGGGCGGGGCCGGCAGGGCCGAGGGAGTGGCTCTGCCTTGCTCTGGCCCAGCGGAGTGGCGGCCCGCGGGGGGGCGGGCGGGCGGGGCGGGGCGGGGCGGGGCGGGGGGCGGCGGGCGGGGCGGCCAGCCTCCACAAAATCCTGGGAGCAATCTTGTAACGCCGGCGAACGTGATCCAAACAGCGAAACAGCCCGAACAGGGCAGGGCGAGCAGGCGAGCGTGGGTCGGGCCGTGGAGCCGGCCGAGCACCCTGACGCCTCACCGGAAAGGAGGGGGGGGGGGCCTCGGACGGCGGCGTGCGAGATGAAGAAGTGTGTTGCAACCCCGGCCGGCGAAAGAGGGAATATCTTCATGAATAAAATTCCACTCTGTTTTCCCTCAAGGCACTTACCGCCGCGCGTCCGCGCCCTGTCCGCACGCTGTCCGGGCTGTCCGGCCGGCGCCGCGCGGCCACGCCGCCACGCCACGAGGGAGCCGGAGCGGACTGGAGCGGACCCACCCACCCGGGACGCGCTGCTCGCCACGGCACGGCACGCAAAACGCCGACGGGCTGGGGCGAAGAGTGAAGGGTCAGAAGCAAACAAATCGGCGCGGTGCCGCGCGACGCCGTCGAGGGCCTCAGCCTCAGCCAAGGACTCAGCCTCGCGTCACCCGCAGCCCTCTCATTACAGTGGAGCGCCTCAAACGCGGCAACGAGGCACGTCTGCAGTCCCGTTGCGGTCTCTCTCGCTCTCTCGGGGCGGCCCGCTTGTCAGTGCGAGGGAGACGGAGTGACGGGGACAGCCGAGGGGCGTGCTTGGGGAAATAAAGCCGTACGCACCGCCGGACAGGCCAGGTCCCCGTCGAAGACGCCGACGGCACGAAAAAACAGGGAAGGGTTGTCGGGGCTCGAACGCAGAACTCCGGCGTTGTGAATCAACGCCCATGCCGCTCGGCTACGCGGTCGGACCCCCTTTCTGAGCTCAAGACGGGCATCACGGGGCGGTGGTCCGATGCGTTTGCCCAGCCGCGGTCTTGGTTGGCTCAAGTGCCGACCGGGCGCACAATGGGGCAGTACTTCGCCGTGCTTCGCCGTGCTTGTGGTCTGTAAACTCGACGCGGCCGCCGAGCCGCTCGGCAAATACGACTCCACCTTCCGGCATGAGGCCGTCGAGTCCCTCGGCGCGGCCCTCCGTGCCACTCCGCCCGCCCTTCGAGGACCCTGACTGATAATTAATTCTGCTAATCCCCCGCCTCGCCCCTTGGAGGCCCCTTGCCCCCGGCGACACCTTTTCCGACAAATTAGAGTGTCTTCGACGGCCGCGTGGTCGCGGAGAGGCACTTCTTGGCGTGGCCGAGGCCGGCCCGTCAGGCGGCGATGATGGAGCGGCCGGCGCCCCTCCGTCCCGGCCGTCCCAGCCCCGCGTGTCCGGCCGAGGCCGGGCCGTGCCGTGCCGGCGTGCCTCCTATGCTGATGGGCTGCGAACGAGGAACGACGCAAAAAGAGGCCGCCGCCGCCACGCACTGGCCTTTTTTGCCCGAATTCCGCGGCAAAGTGACTTAATCGCTGCCGTTTGCACTCCACCGAGGCGGAGGGGGGGGGGGGAGCGACTTATCAATGGGACGGCCAATTCGGGGACACAATGCCGGCAATGCCGGGGAGAGGGAGGGAAATTACTTGCCGTATCAATTCTTCATCTCACTTCTTTCTTCCCTCGGTGTATTGAATCGGTGAGGGGGGCGCAAAGTGGCTATAGTCTTTGACGGCGGTGACTCATCCAGGTGTGTAATGACCCTGAGGAGGTGCCCCCCCCTGCGGGGTGCCCGCCGCGCCCTCGCGTGCCTCCCTCCAGCCCTCCCCGATGCGCCTATTTCCGCCCGGGAGCTGCCCGCTAACTGCGGGGGCGGGGCCGGCTGCCTGCCTGCCGGACTGATTCCGAACGGTGCCCCGTCGCTCTGTCCCTCTCGCACCCCCGCGGGACGGCGCGTGAGTGCGAGAGAGACAGAGCGACGAAAGCACTGCCCGGAATCAGCGTCGGCCTGCCGGCTGACTGACTGCCGCTTGCCGTGACGACGAGCACGGGGTGCAACGCGGGGCGGGGCGGGGCGGGGCGCAGTGAGGGGTTGGCGTCGTGGAGGCGCCGCCGCACGCCCCCGCCGCCGGCAAACAGCTGGGAGCCTCCCAGGGGACCCCGCACTCCACCAGTCCACGGCGAGCCGACGGGGCGCGGGACCCCCACGGCCGACGCGCCTTTTAACGGGGGGATTAACACGCAGGTTGGAGGTGCAGTCGGCGCGCGGTGGCGTGGCCATCCCCTTCTTGTTGGCCCTCCGCCCAGCCGGCAGTGGCGCGCAGCACTGCGCAGCACGCAGCGCCGTTCGACTCGTTCCGTTCCTCGTTCCGACGAGCCAAACTCAGTAATGGCGTTTCGGCGGCCTGGCCCTTCGGACCCTCTTCGCCGCCTGGCCTTGCGCCTTGCAAAGTCTCTTACAATATTGTGGCTGCACCGCTACAAGTTGGATGCAACTTTGCCGTGGCTCCTTCGCTGCCGAAGGTTGACAGCACAGCGGGGAGCCAAGCCTGGCGGCCTGGCCAAGCCGGAAGGAGGGAGGGGGGCTAATTGTCAAAGTGGAGCGGGGCGAAGGGAGGGGGAGGGGACGGGGCCTGTCCGCGCCAGGCTCGGGACAGGTCCGCTCCACTAGTGGTACGCCAAGGCTCACTTTCTCTCTTCTTTTCTTTTCTCCTTTTCCCCTCGAGTCTTTTTCCAGCTCCTCACTCTATCTAAAGCGCGGCCCCTTCTCAACCCCCGGCGTAGGTGCACACTGTGAAAGAAAGTCCCCCAAACGGCGAAAACAACTACAGCTCGAAGGGAAATGTTGTGATCGAGCGGGAATTCCTCGCAGGGCGGTGTTCTCCAGTGTAGGTGTTTTTGTTGTTGTTGTTCGCCAGCAGGTGCAATGCGCTCGCTCGCCTCACCGGCGCAGACTATCCCCGCGGGCGATCCTGCCTCATGCCCGTCCTCGCCGTCCTCGGCCTGCCTGACTTGGACAGTCTGCTGCCTGTGGCTGCCTGGCTGCCAGCCCCGTCCGTGCTGCCCGCAGCCGATAAGGCCCACAATGCCCAGCCTGATGAGTCCCGCCCGAGTCTTTGTTGGCGTGCATGCACCCCGACGGCACGGCAACGTCCAGCCCCTGTGTTTTACAGTAGGGTGGTCGCACGGTTCAAAAACGAACGAGATTTAACAAACTTTCTATGTATTTCATGATTCCATTTACAAATGAAAGGTGTTCACGCAAAAAGAAAAGAAAGCAACATAAACAATACATTTTAACTATATCAACATCATAAAGCTATAAATAATTTAAAAATTTTATCCTGGTAGAACTTTAGTAACGAAAATTGTGCAGCTTAATCTACATATCACACGTTTTACTTCGTTAAAAGTGGTTTGATGACTAGACAAAGGAACTATTCTCAAAGTTTGCGCTTCAGCAGTTCGCTCCGAAAACAAGGATGAATGTTGTGAGCATCTATTCGATGGGCTCTAAAGTTGATTTTTCTAGATCAATACAAGATGCGATTCTATATAGGCACAATGAGTAAAGTCCGTAACGCAAAGCCTGGCTTACAGCCCGGACAATCTAACACAGCAAATTCCCAAAAATTTGAAAAATTACCAACAATAACGCAAACAATATGGAAGTAACAAGTAAATATATAATATTGAGACAACGGAGAACTTTACATATCAACAAAAGAAAAGATTAAGGTGTGCCACCTTATGACACAAGAATACCTTACTAAAAACAAGGGCGACAAGTCTTCATTTTCTTCCAAGAAGAACAAAGAATTTACAACGCAATAAACCTATAACATTTCTGACAAAAATATATATAGACAAACTTTAATTATTAATATAATCCTCAATGCTTCCACTAAGTATGGAACATAATTAAATGAATGATATGGCGTTTGTGGTCACACTTGACGTGTTCTTACTTGATATGTACCCTAAGTTATGATAAATACGTAGCCAATGGTATGTCAGCAGCGCCCCGAGAGTGAGTGTCGCGGTGGAGGTGGTGTAGAGGGAAGTCTCGAAGGTAGCCTCCGGCGTCCTCGACGGCGTCCTCGGCGGCGTCCTCGGCGGCCCTCACACCATGGCGGGGGTGCCGTTCTCCTTGTGCCAGCCGTTGGTCAGCACGGCGGCCGCGCTCACGTCGGAGTGCTCGTCGCTCAGCACGGCGGAACAGGAAGCCAGCGCCTGCAGACACAGGGACACAGCCAGTCGAGGCATCAGTCAGCTGCCACGGCTAGAAACTTGGCGGGCCGTCCGTCTGTCACGTCAGGAGGGATCACGGCGATGACGAGGGCGGCGCGGCCGAGCCGGGCCGAACGCCATGGACGCCGTCCCGCAATACGTCAGGGCAAAGAGGTACGAGAAGCTATTACGGCGGTCCTTCCGCCGCCTTCCATGATGATAATAACAATTCCCGCGGCGGCGGGGCCAGGGCGGGCCAGGGGGTTGGCGGAGGGGGAGGCCGCCACGCGAGCCGGAACCTAAGGGCGGGGCCCCGGGCTGCCTCGGCCTGCCCGGGCCAGGCCGTCGGGACGTCGGCGTCGGGACGACAGGTGAAGCAAAGTAGAGGAAAAAGGGGGCGGTGGCGCCTCCTGCCGCGGGGTGTCCGTCACGCCAAACGGCAGACACTACTTGGAAAAAGGATCAAGCGCAAAGCCTCACCTGCGCGTGCGAGAAGGCGACGTGGTGGTGGCCCTGCACTTGCACCTGCACGCCCATCTCGGGCGAGGCGGCGCCAGGCACGCTGGCCGACGCCATGCCGCCCATGACGGCGCCGGAGGGCAGGTCGGGCGAGCCCAGCTCGTAGATGTTGAGCATGTGCGCGGCCTGGACGTGCACCATCAGGTCCCAGGCCGAGGAGAAGGACGCCTTGCACGACACGCACAGTAGCGACACCGCCGAGCCGCCGTCACAGCCTGCATGGGGGCAGCAGAGGAGCATTACACACACAGCATAGACGCGCACACGATCGGGCTGCTGGTTCACCACCTCAAACACACGTGAAATCTTTAGCTTCTCCTTTTTTTAACGAAAGTAGGAGAAACCTAACAACGACTGCCCTGCCAAGCCCCCAGTTCGAAGGCTGGGCAGAGCGTTCGTGTTCCCTCTACAGCGGAAAACAAATCCGGCCGCTCCAAGTTGAAAGTGGACTAAGTTGGCGCCAAGTTGTCGGACCGCTCTCCTCTGCTCCGCTCCGCTCACCGTTCTGGGGCGCCGCGATGGGCCTGCACTTGCACGCGAACCTCAGCTTGCAGTGCGACTTCCGGTGCTCGATCAACTCGCCCAGGTCGGTGAACAGCTCCCTGCAGTTGCCGCAGATGAGCACGTCGGGGTTGCCTGCCGAGACACGGGGGAAGGTTAGTCAAAGTCAACGTTCGGCGGCAGAAACGCCGTTTCGGTCTTTTAGAGAACCCGAGCTCTTTTCTGCGTGCATTGCCCACTGTGGCCACTTACTGTACGTCTTGAGCTGCGAGAGGTCAGCCGCGCTCACGGTGGTCGGCGTCGTCGTCGTCGGTGGCTGTTGCTGCGGCGAATGTTGTTGTTGCTGCGCTTGCTGGACCTGCTGCTGCACCTGTTGTTGTTGTTGCTGCTGCTGCTGCGCCGTTTGTTGCTGCTGCTGTTGTTGTTGTTGCTGCTGCTGTTGCTGCTGCGCCTGCTTCTTGCTGGCCGATCTGCTGGGCGCCGCGATCAGCCTGGGCCTCTTGAGGGGCGGCGCCAGCCTCTGCGCCACGGCGGCGAAGGGCGCGGTGGAGTAGTAGCTGCAAGCAACCACGCACTCCATCAGGCATCCGTCGGGAGCCACGACTCTGGGGGAGGGGAGGGGGAGGCCTGGCGGGGACACGGGGAATAAAATACCGCCTCCATCCCAGCCCACAACGGCACTCCCGGCACGCGGGTCATCAACAAGGTCGTCAATGGGAATCTAATAAAATTGAGGCGCGCGTCGACTTTTTCCTCCCCGCCGAAAACGTAAAATGTGGCCGGCACCGTGTTGCACGCGGCTCCGTGTTCAGATTCGCACGACGGGAGGGAAGAAAAGAGAAGGGAAGAAAAAGCGTGTCACGCCACTCACATATCAGCGAGACAAAAATTCCCGCCCTGCCGCCACGCCACGCCACGCCGACACTTTACTCGCGGCGTTTTCTGCATTTCGCCGCGCAAATGTCATCCGTCTCCCCTTCGCCCGCCTCGCCCGCCTCGCCGGAGGTGAAAGGCGGCCCTGTCATCCCAGAAAATAGAAGGGCGAACGGACGGGCGGGCAGACAGACAGACAGGCGGGCAGACACGGAGGACCCGGTGCCACTGATGTTGACAAATCACGATGGGACTGCAAGGCAGCCGAAGGCAGGCAGCGCAGCGAGCAGGCCTGTGTGCACCTTGTACGTTGTCATGTCTGATGCACGTCGCCGTCGCACCCCCGGCAAGCAGGCAGGCAGGCAGGCCGAGCCAGACGGGGAAAGGAGAGACAATCTTGCGTTTCGCCCTTTTACTCCCATCGCAGTTAATTGTCGCCTGTCACGTACGCGTCCGCACCCCCTGCAGCACGGCTATTTGCAAGGCCGAGGCATCGCGGTGCAAAGACGGCGCCCCTTCCCTAGGAGGGACGCACGCACACACGCCAGCCGGTCGCCCCCCTTTACGTGCCCGTCGGCCGCACGGGCGTGTTGATGCGTGTGTGTGCGTGTGTGGTGTGTGTGAGTACGTACAGGGCGCGTATTTTCGAGACACCGCGCACGCAAACGTGTAAACACACAGACACACACACACACACACACACACGGCCAGGGTCGCCCCCTCCTCATTGTCAGCCTAATGGAATGCCCCACTGCCCCACCACCCCCTCGCTCCGCCGCCCCCTATCTCTTAACCAAGTGTCGTTTTGCGTGTCATATCTCCAGGGGAATTTTAGCCAAAGTTTGACACTGTGTGCACAACACACGCAGAGCACGCTGCCGTATGCGCCGGGCGGTGGCGCGGCGTGGCGCGGCCGCCACGGTGCAGTGCACACACGCTAGGGGCGGCACCCGAGAGGGGAGGGAGCAGGGGGGTCGTTCCGTCGTGATCCTCCCCCCGCCCGCCCCTTCCCCCGGGTCTTGGGCGCGGGATGAAGTAATTTTATTGTTTACGAGAGCTGTATAGCATAGGGGAGTGCCCCGCCTTCTGGCTTCCGTGATTCCCATCGGGCCGTGCCCCGCCATGCCGTGCCTGGCCTTGTAGGCGCGCCCCGGCCAGTCGCACATCCCTGCGCTGTACGTCACCTAGCTCCCTTTGGGGGGGGGGGGGCAGCGAGACGCGGCGTCAGCATCACCAGGCATCGCCATCGCGGCATCGCCGAGACGGAGACGGAGACGGCAAAGTTGGGAGCTTATTAATTTCCAGGCGACGGGCCGGAAGGAATTGCCGAGAGCTGATTACGCGTCAAGGACGTCCCGCGGGGAGGGGGCTGTTTTCCGCCAGATACCGCACGCATCGAAGACGTCGCCGACGACGCGGATTGAGCGGCGGTGGCGCCCCCTGGCGGCCGAGCCGCGGAACGAAGCACGCCGAGCCGAGCCGAGCCGAGCGGGTCCGCGGAGAAGAAGCGTCCTCCCCGTCCGCCTCGCCCTGCTCCGCCATGATTGGATGAGCTGCGATCCGGCCTAAGTGGCGAGGCAGGCCGCCCGCTGGAGCCGCTGGAGCCTCCAGAGCGCCGCGCGCCACAACAAGTTGCGTAATGAGTTTCCACACGCAGTGCGGCCCGGCCGGGCCGGGGCGGGGCGGGGCGGGGCGGGGTGCCGCAGCAGCGCGGCGCCACGCAGGTGTACGGAACGCCCAAGTGCCGCGAGACGAGCGAGCGACGAATCGCGCCACGTAATCAGATTAAGACGCGCGCGCACACACACACAGGAGCGCGAATTTGAGCGCCGCCCGGTCATGTAGCGCAGCCCGCGCCTCCGGGTTCGGATCCGGATTCGCTGCTCGGATTGCCCGCCGCGCTTCCGCGCTCGAGCCGCCAAGTCAAGTGTGCGACGCGGCCGGGACACTGGCAGAGGAGCGAGACTGCCTGGCTGACAGAGAGTCCTTCCATGTAACCTCTCTCTCTCTCTCGCTCGCACCCCGACGGACGTGCGGCACAGACAGAGCGACGAAAGAAAGCTCGGTGCGGAATCAGCCTGCAGCAGGGCGGCAGGGCGCGCGCGGTTTCAATATTGTCTCCAGCCGCGCTCATGCTCGTCGTGCTCTTGCCCGCGGCGGTGTCGGCTTCTCGGATTCTCGGATCGCGGCGCCGTAGAGACAACGCCACCGGAAATAGGGACTCGAAGAGGAAGAGGGGAAAAAGTGATTTAATTTCCGCGGCGGGCGGTGGCGGCGGGCGCAGTGGGCGGCCGTGGCCCGGCCGTGCCATCCGGAGGCACTATGTTAGCGCGAGCCGAAGCCGGCGTGCGCGGCGCGGTGCGCACGGAGACGCACTTTGCCCATTTCCGGAGGACGATCTTTCTCGTAAAAACAAAACGGGGGTGCAGAGCGCTGCAGAGGGACAAAGGGATGGGACACCGTAAGGGACGACATGAGGGAGGAAGGAAGGAAGCACACTCACCTATCGTAGTAGTATTCCCTGGAAAAGAAGAAAACACTCAGTTAGTCGAGGATTGAGAAACGCGTCGGCTGCAAGGAAACACAGTTTAGTGACAACCAATAACTAGAATGAAAGCAGAGGGGGAAGAATTTTTCGCAAGACGAGAAAGAAGGCAAAGGAAAAAGTTTTCTCATGCAAGGTCGGGACGACATATGCGGCGCTGGGCCTGGGCGGCAGTTTGAACCTCCGGACCTCCAAGGCCTGCGTGGCCGTCGCACTGGCTGCACCATTACCACCACGCCAACCTACAAGCGCGACGCACACAACGAGGCGAGACGGAGTTGTTAATAACCATCCCATTTATGAGAGCATCGCGTTGACGGCGCCCTGATTCCGCGGCCGAGGCGGCCCCAGCCACGCCACGCCCCGACACGCCCCCGCGCCGAGGCCCCGTCGCTCCTTCATTTGTTTTCTCATTTGCGACCCTCCCCCGCCCCTGCCCGCCCCTGCCGCGCAGCGCGGCGCCACGTCGGCGGGGGGAATGACTCATCAACCGCACGGCATTCCTGGACAGCGGCGGATGAGGACGCCGAGGAGGATGGGGACGCCGAGGACGCCGAGGACGGGGCGGAGCCCCCGCATTCCGGAGGAGCATCGCGGCGGCGCGGCGGCCCTGCATTCCCGCGGGTGTGAAGTTCGCCGCCGACTGCAGCGCCTCCGCGCCTCTTGGGCCCCGCCCTCAAGGGCGCCCCGCCCCGCCCCGCCCCGCCCGCCCCGCGGCCCGGCCACACCAAAGGGCGCCAAAAGGGCGCGGTCTGCCCGGCCCTCCGCGCCGGGCCACTGGCCGACGACGGCGCAACGGTCAATGGGAATCGATTTTCCCAGCCACCGATAATAGGATTCGGTTTTTCGGATTTCTCCAGCGCACGGCCGTGCGCACGCTGCCTACTTTCCAGGCGCGCGGCTCGGCGGCGACCTTTCAAATCGGCCGGAGTGGCGACCGGCGCGGCCCTGAAGGCCCTAAAGGTGATGCGCCGCCGCCGTGGCCCCGGCGTCGCCCGGGCGGCCGTCACGGCCGTCATGGCGGCAATCACGGCGTCGTGGGCGTAAAGCCAGGGGTGCTGCTGCACGCCGAGGAGGCCGTCGCTAAGTACGAGTGTCGCACGCATCGCCCGGACGAGGAGGGGCGCGGCGACGACGCCGGGATATGGCGTCCGTAAAAAGCCTTGCATAAAACGGCCTGATAAAACGCCGGCACCGCGTGGCGTCGCAGCCCGTCGCAGCGCGTCGCAGGCCTGCGCGGCGGCCGGCCTGGCGCCACACCGGTAGGACCAGCAGCAGGGCCAGCAGCAGGGCCTCTCATGAAAGGAGGTGGAATAATTTCATGGAACAGTGTGGGGGCGGGGCGGGGCGCGTGTGAAGGCGCGCGGCAAATCTGAAATCCGAGTGCCTCTGGTCGTAAAACTGGCATCAGCCCGGGGCGCGCTACTTCCACGTTTGTGTGCGGACGTAAGTGTGTGTGTGTGTGTGTGTGTGTGTGAGTGAGTGTGGCGCACGCGGGCGCACGTTGCCGTTCCGGTGTGCGAGGAAGAGTCCCACAAAGGCAGCGGATGGTGGAGGCGGTGGCAGTAAGACGTGAGGCCGTGGGGCTGAGCAGGAGAATACACTCGCACAGGGCGCACCACTGCCCCCAAGGCCCCGAGGGTGGAGGCAGCGCGAGGCGGTGGCTGCATCAGGCCGGATGAACGAACAGCACTGACGGAGTGCAGCGCCGTACCGCGTACTGCTCGCCCTGCCCGCCCTGCCCCTCGCCAGCACGTACGCACGCCCTCGCGGCCTTGCGCACAGCTACGCCTGGCCACGCACAGCGAGCCGCGCGTCGTCTCCCAGAGGAATGCCTCCTTCCCTCTCTCCTTCTCCTCCTCCTTTTTCATTTCCCACCTGGCCCTCGTCCTCCCCACTTTCCTACCGCCTTTCTCTTATTCAGTGGTGGCCGCGAAATCCCCGTGGCGTGGCGGGGCGTGGCGGGGCGTGGCGTGGCGGGCTCAGCGCCACCGCAGAAGGATGCAGAAAGGAGGGAATCAATACGACGCGGCTCAATGGATCCCGGAGGCGCCAAGGCGCGGCGTCCGGGGCGTCGCGAATACGTCAGGCGGACGGGACGGGACGACACGGCGACGAGGCGCCGCCAGAGCCAGAGCCAGTGGCTCTCTGGGTGCGGCGAGGCGCGGCTTTCAATGAAATTAATGTGCACGGCGCGGTGCTGCCGCGGTGCTGCCGTTCTGCCTGACGCGATGGATGGGCACGATGCTTGACATTCGGACCGGCAGGACCGGCAGGGGCGGGGAAGGGATGGAGAAGGGGGGGGGGGGGGGTGGAGTTGGGCGAAGATAAAGGGGAGACCTGACTCCTCGCAGCTCGTCGCTCCCGAGAGTTATTCCTGAGGGGCCGGGCCGAGCGGGGCCGAGTCCGCCGAGTCGGGCAGCGGGCTGATTCCGAGCAACCGCTCTGTCTCGCTCGCACCCACGGGTCGCTCCGTGTAGGTGCGAGACTAGGGAGACAGAGCGACGAAACGCGTCGCCTCGATTGGAGTACACGGTCGCGGTCTCCACCGCGGCAGCGCGATTCCGAAGGGCGGGGTCCCTCTCGCACCCCAACGGAACGCCCCACGAGTGCGAGAGAGACAGAGCGCCGACGGCGCAGTGCGGAACCAGGCAGCAGCACCGCGACAAGCAAGCCAGCGGAAGGCCATTTTTCCCCATCACCGCCGGCAGGACTAACCCGTAACCGGCGTGTGGAATCCACGGCAGGGGCAAATAAACCCGACGCTTAAAAACTGCAACTTGTAAACAGCTTCGGCGGTTTCCTTTTCCCCCGCTGCCCGAGGCGTGGCGGCGTGGCCATGCAAATCCGGGGCGCTCCACGCAGCGGCACGGCACTTGTTGCGTACGCAAAGCCACGCGGAACTGCGACCAGCAGCCACCGCCACGCCGCTTGCCCCACCACCCCCGGGCCGCAGGCCAGCGCGCCGTCGCCAGCGCGGAGCACAAGCAGGCCCTGGAGCACAACACGAGTGACAGCCGCAGCCAAATTGAGGGGCACACATCCGTCAAGGCAGGCAAGGCCGTCGCGGCGGTGGCCGGCCGCCTGTTGCGCACCTGCGCGCTCGGGGAGCCCCGGGGACGCCCTCTATTATTCAATCATCTACGACGGACTCTGCAGCGCGCCGCCATTGTCTGATTCCGAACGGGGCTTCTGTCCGTCTCTCTCACACTCTCGGGCGGGGGCTTCCGTCTGTCTCTCTCGCACTCTCGGGTCGGAACCGCTGCGCCGGCGGGGTGCGCCGCATTGCTTTGGGACAATAAGGGCGAGGCGCGCTGGCGCGCAGGCGCGACCACACGGCCGGAATATGACGGAAAAGTGTGCCCAGAATGCCGCGGCGAGGCCGTGGAGGGGGAGGGGCCGCCACCGCCAACAACAAGCGGCGCGAGAGGGGCTCCAGCGAGGCGGCGGCCCGGCGCTGCAGAATCATTCCGAGTTCTCTCTGTCGCACCGAGGCGCGGGTGCGAGAGAGACAGACCGGCGGCCCCGCTGGCCAGTGTCTCCCACATCGACGCCGCGCGGTCGGCGGGGTGGGGGCGGCGGTCGCCTTGAGAATCGAGATGAGGACGTGGCCGTCGTCGGGGCGACCGGAGGCAAGACCGGAGGCTGGGGTGGGACATTCCACGGACGCCATGCGGCCATGCGGGTGGCGCCGTGTGGGGGCGCGGGGCGGGGAGTGAGTGGGTGGGGCCGGGTGGGGCGGCGACTGTCTTAAATACCTCGTGCCTCCTCCAGCCCCGTCTGGCGCTGCCTGTCTGGCGCTGCCTGTCTGGCGCTGCCTGCCTGCGGCTCCTCGATATCGGCGGCTCCCCCAGCCGTTCAAGGAGGGCCTCCGCCAGGATTATGCCATTGAATTCGGCGGGGAGCTGGCAGCCGAGCCGCCAGCCAAGGGCTCAGGGGCGGAGCGTGGAGGGGGGCCCCGAGTTCCATTCCACACCAACAGTTTTCTGATCAACGGGCCGTGCGGCGTGCAAACCAGCTGCCGCTGTTGCTGCCAACTTGATCCACTCCAAGCTGCTCGAGCTGCCCCCGGAGAGGAGCGGAGCCATCGGAGTGCACTTCATGGAGCGCGGCGCAGCGCGGGGCAGCCCAGCCGGGCAGCCGCGCGGACGGAGGAGCCCGAGCCACCCGATCGGAGCCCGACAATGCAAAGACGACCCGCCAGCGCAGCGCCGACGGTCCGGCGGGCGAAAACACCGATCCAGGCCACCTTGGCCGAGAGCGTAGAGGCGTCAGTCACTGAGACTGGAAGACTAGAGTTCGATACCCGGTGCATCTGTCGTTTTCTAAACGTCGTCCGAGGAAACTAGCTTCATAATTTTATGTTGCTCGCGGGAAGCACCACTCACATCCCAGCACAACTCAGTCAATATTTCGCGAAAATTTCAATTTTATTTTAAATTGAGAGGCATACTTAACGCTGCTGGCGGCGCGTTTCCAGACGCGGCGACGTTATTGACTGCGACGCCGACGGCCGCCAACGGCTCCCCCGGGACTTCCACCACCTCGGCGAGGAGCGGCGCCCCGCCAGCCCCGCCAGCCCCGCCAGGCAGCAGGCCTCGCAGGAGTAGAGATCGACTCGGGCCTTTCTCGCCATTTATTCTTTCCAGGTCTCCATGGCGTAACTTAGACGTGGGAATAGCCGCGGCTGTCGCTCGCGCGGGGCGTGGCGGGGCGTGGCGGGGCGTGGCCGGGCGTGGTGAGGCGTGGCGGGGCTCAACTCGGGGGCGCCGAGGGGAGGCGGCCCACCCGGGCCACCAGCGTGCAGCCACAAGTGACACATGAAGCGGAGCGCAGTGCCGAAGCGGAACGGCCGACTGCCGGCGGCACGGCACGGCACGCCACGGCGCGGAGTGGCAGGGCGGCGCTGAAATTTCTCAGTGTCAGGTGCACGCGGTCTGGCCCGACCGGGGCCCGGCAGTCTTCGTCGCTGTCTCTCTCGCCCCTCCGCGACGCCCCGCGAGTGGGAGAGAGACGGCGCCACCGTTCGGAATCAGTCTGCCCGGCCGGCCGGGGGCGTCCCACTTCCCGGATAGCACCGTTACCGCCACCGTGGGGATGTGCAAAACAAAAAAAATCAGGTCCATTTTCCTTGTTTTTGTTTTCATCGCGCGAAAGCGAGCGCACAAACGCGAGGCGCCAAATCGCGCGTCCCTTCCGCCTTCCCCTTGTTGTTGTTGTTTTTTCGGCGAGTACTCCCCGGCCTGCGATCAATCACGCCGCCGGCGGCGCGCGGAGTCGAGTCTTGTTAGCCGCTGTCATGAAGCACTATATATTCCCGTCCGGTCCGGTCCCGTCCGGCAGCGCGGCCACGGCCGCGGCGCGAACCCGCGTCCCCGCCGTGCGACGCGCCATGTCATTAAGCACTAAATTAATTATTGACGTCATTTTTCTGAGTGAGTCCCGCGCCGCGGCCGCGCCGTACCCAAAGCACGCGCCCCCCGGACGCCGGCCAGCGTTAAGATTAAGCGGCGTCGACGGCCGTGTGTGTGTGTGTGTGTGTGACGCCGAAATGAAAAAGAGGGGGTGGGGGTGGAATATCGAGTGGGCCGACCTCCGGCACTGCCGCTTCATCGCTTGCCGTCGCTTGCCCGCCGTGACTCCGCAGTGGCCCCGCCGCCCCGGCCTGAGCGGCGGTCATTAATGGCACGGTAGGGACACTGCCATGACCAGAGGGAGGGGCATGGAAGGGCGAGCGTGAAGGAAAAGGAAACAAGCCACGGGCCCGCAGACCGAAGAGGAGTCTGAGTCTGGACGCTGGTTGTTGCACTCGGCTAATTTTCCCGCCAAAACAGGAAAAAGGACCCTGTCAGCGGAAGGAACCGGGCGTGCATTTATCTTCCGCTTCTCCCCGGCCTATGGATGCGAAAGCACGGCGCGAAGCAACAACCTTCCGAGAGAGAGAGAGAGAGAGAGAGAGAGAGAGAGAGAGAGAGAGAGAGAGAGAGAGAGAGAGAGAGAGAGAGAGAGAGAGAGAGAGAGAGAGAGAGAGCGGGACGCACGACGCTCGCATTGTTGTCACCCCGCCACCCAGCAGCACCCGGAGAGAGAGACAGAGAGAGCCTTTTATTTTGGCGCCTCCATTTTGTGGCGCCGTGTCGGTGTTTACCTCCACCGCGCGCGCGCGCGCGTGTGTGTGTGTGTGCATGTGTGAGTGAGGCTGCCCCCGTTGGATCAGGCGGTACACGTACGTACGGGACTAATGGATTCTAATGGCGTGTTCTCCGAGCCGCCCCGCCCCGCCCGGCGTTCCATCCCAGAGGCAGAGTTTGAGACCTCCACGCGCGCCGACCCGAAACCGGATCACGACCGAGTCCGCGCGCCTTTTCGCCCCAACGAGGCCCCCGCTGACCCCCCCCCCTTTCAGCAGAACGCGTTTCGGCACGCTCCGCCTGTGTCAGCGAGCGGCGCTGGCGCGTCGTCACGCCCAAAAAACAACAACAGCAAAAACAAAGCCGGGACCCAACAAAAGCGCAGCAGTGATCCTCCCGCAGGACAACGCCCTCATCCGCGGAAAGCATATCACGCCCGTTCCAAACAACAACAACATGTCAAAACAACGCGTTGTTGTCGCTGCCGCCACGGGTGCCCCCGGAGACGGAGACAGCGCGAGAGGAGCGCGTCTAGTAAACTCGATTCTAATCCCATCCCATCCCAGTGTAGTGCCAGCCTCGGCCAGCCGGGTAAATAAAGTCTGGCCAATTACGCCAAGGTAATTCTGGCCTTGTTGACGCTGGAAATTGATGTCCCATAATCCACTTAGGGCAGAATGAGAGCGCCGCGCTCCTGGGGGGCCGGCGTCGTCGCCCTGTCTCGCTCGCACTCGTGGCGCGTCCCGTAGGCCCGTCCGGGTGCGAGAGAGACAGCACCAGTCGGAATCGGGCAGCTGGCTGGCTCGGGGCAGCGCCGGCGGGGCCCTGGCTCTGGGAGGACGAAGTGACCGGCGGCACGGCCCGGCCGGCGCCAGAGCAGACGGACTCCGAGTCTGTCTCTGTCTCGTGCACTCGTGGGGCGTCCCGTGTGGGTGCGACAGAGACAGGCTGACGGAACCTCCCGCTCGGAGTCGGCCGGCCGGGCCGGACGGAGGGGTCGCAGGGCGATCGGGGTGGATAAAGGACGGGGCAGCACGGGGCAGCACGCCCCCCGCGGGGCGGCAAAGGGGTCGCCTGGGGCCCCCGAGGGGTGCCGGCCCCGACGGCCCCGACGGCCGCGCCCCGGTGAGCACCACCAGGGCCCCCACTTACTGCCGCCTTAGCTACTTGGCGGCGTTTTGGAGGACGGCCTGCCGAGACGAACGCCTCGCTACACCGTTCGGCCACGGTGGTGGCATAGGACGATTCATTTTCCAGCCTCTGCTCAAGTAGAAGCGCTTTGATTTGGGAGTCGCCCCCCGGGCTGCGCGCCTGGAGCGTAGGCAACGTCAACACACCCGTGCGCGCGGACGCGGGGATTGCCTACTGCCCGGGCGCTCGCCGTGCCTGCCGCGACGGCGGTGTGGCGGCAGTGTTTTCTCCAGTGTTCCTTGAATTCGGCCGTGGAGCCGCGCGCAGCATGCAGCAGCCCTCCCGGCACGTCCGCGAAGACGGCCGAGACGGCGAGGGCCTTGGCGGCGTGCAACGCGAGCCAGTCGTCGCCGAGGCCGTCCGCCAAGGCCCTTATCCAACCCCGATCTTCTGGTGCACTGCGATGCGGCGCTGCGGCCCCTAGGGGTATCCATGGCGACCTGCTGCTAAGGGTCGCCCGCTCCATGTGGGTGGGGTGGGCCCCGGCGCGGCGCGGCGCGGCTCAGACCCGCTTAGCGCCGCCGCACGCGTCCCCCACCCCCTCTCCCCCCGGTGGGGTGGGGTGGGGCGCGCGCCGGAGTTACTGTGAAATGCTGAATTATAACCGCTCCGGCAACTTTTCAAGCGGCGCGCTTCGCCGGCAATGGGTATGAACAGCTCCCCGAAGAGCCGAACGCACCGCTGATGATGCACGCGAACGAGGAAAAGAGGAAAAGAGGTCCCCGAGCGGCGGCCCGGCGACGCGGCGACGCGGGACGGAGCGGATTTAACTCCCCGTCCGCAGATTTATGGAGACAGGAAAAAAAGGATACCGCTCACAGTGTAACGAATTCAGTAATCAAATGCCGGAACTTTGGGATAATTGTTATCGTGAAAAAAAAAGAAGACTGTGGACAAGATAAGTGGTGCAAGGTGCAAACAAAATGCAGAGGAGTGCGTTAGTGCAAAGAGAAAGTACTTAAGAAACTGTGGTGCAATCGTGGACGAGTTAGTACTACGTACACTGGGTGCTGTGTGCCACTAAATTATGGTAACTACTACCAACACGGCCAAATCAAGGAAACGTCTCGGGTCGCGGCGGCCGCGATGCAAACACGGAGAGAGACACAAAGGTTTGCAACAAGCCGCCGCTCACTTGAAGAAAAAAAAAGAGCGCTGCAGCGCGCAAAGAATGTGAACGAAATCGGTTCAAATTTCGACCGATTCGTCCAAGAAAGTCACACCTTGTCATCGCGGCAGTCGCACCGCATTGACACGGGCGACTCAAGAATTAAAAAGGGTTTTAAAAAGGACGAAACGCAGCCGCGGCCGCGCGTCGACAACCAGAGAAAAATGTCTGGCAAAATGTCGGACTGCGCTGCCGCGACTGGTCCAGGGAAACATGACAGAAAAAAATCAACAGGACACAAGGAAAAAAGCGACTACACTAAAAACATAGAAGGGAACTGACTGGTTTCAAAAAAAAAGTGCAAAAAATTAACACATCAGGCAAGAAAAAAAGACAATATGCAGTATGTGCATATTCAAAACAAAAAAAATATGGCCAAAAATCAAAACGGCAACTCACCAGTCATTTCCAGTTTTGGCGACATTTTGCCTTTTCCTACCAGTCTGATGAGGCTTGGGGTCAGCAACCATGTTCACGTCTGGAAACACACACAACACAATGAGTGCCTCGTCGTCTCAGTCAAAACCAAACCGTGGAGGCGAGGTGAGAGCACCGACCGGGACCGCCAAAAAAATCTGGGGTATCCGGACATGAACCATGAGGGGCAAAAAGAAGACAGCGGGAACGACAAAAACCAAAACTGAAGTGAGGTTGTTCGGAGGCCGGTCGCGCCACCCTCTCGACGGCCTTCTGCACGTGCTGCAGGTTGCGGGGCGCGGTGGGCGCGGGCCGCTTCATGAAGGCGGCGTGCGAACTCTGGAGAGGCGGCGGAGCGGTGGAGGGAGCCTCCGTCATTTCCGGCCCTGATTGGAAAGATTCCGACACTTAGCAAGGCCGCCCGGCAAAGTTCCGGCCGGCGGAGTTCCGCCTTCCGCCGCCCCAGAATCGTGACTGCTCACTTCCGGTTTCCGGTCACGCGTGGTGTAGCAGTGTAGCAGCGAGGGGATCAATGCGGGCCCGCCTTGGACGCGGCAACCTCGGCGCGCTGCCCGCGTGCAGGGCGTGCAGGGCGTGTCCGCCGCGTCGCGCCGCGTCCCCGTCAGCAGAAGGCCCGGCCGTAATTAGGCAGAGAGCCCCGTAATGGTGTTCGCGTTCTCGCTGACGAGTGTTTACGACCGCCGCCACGCAGCGCCACCGCCGTCGCCCTCCCAGCAGACTGATTCCGCCTCCCGTACCTTCGCTTTTGTCTTTCCGGGGCGCCCCACGAGTGCGAGAGAGACAGCTGCAGGCCGTGCAGCAGCTGCCGGCGCTTCCCCGCGCCTCCCGGATTTGTCAACCGCCGGAATATGCCCAGTCCTTCCAGTGCCTCCAGCGGCCGGGCCGGGCCTTCCAGAGCAGCGACTGGCTTCGAGTTCTTCTGCCAAAGTTTTCCCCATCGGTTTGGCTGAGCACCCCGCCGCCGCGCCGAGCCGGTCTCTTCCAAGACACTAAACTAACACGGCGTCACTGGCCCTGCCGCGCCAGCCGGGCGGCAGAGGATCAGTGCCTCGCCTCGCCGGGGCGACGCCGACTACCCGGCCCGTTAGGCCGTTATGGTCTTGGAGCTGTTTTCTTGTTTCCCTCATTTCGGGCCTTTCGGGCCGCGAGCTTCCCGCCGCACCGGCCAGGCAGGCCAGGCAGGCCGAGCTGGATCGCTTTCAAAAAACTTGGCCAGTAAATAGTCGGGGCGCGGCGGGGCGGGCGGCGCGCTGGCAGCGACACGCTGCAGAGCGGGGCAGGGCGGCCGCCATGTCCCTGTCGCCGCCAGCGCGACCGCCAGCCGCCCCCTCCCACCGCCTCAACCAGGTACTCCGCCGATGACAGGCCGGTCCCGGCGTCCCGGTTACACCGCCAGCACCACCTCATCGCTCTGTCTCTCTCGCAGTACCCAGGGTATCGTGGGGGTGCGAGGGAGACAGAGCGACGCCGCCTGCAGTCCGGAGTCCACGCCGCGGCGCGCCTGCACTGTTTACCCCAATATCCACCCGGCAGCGCGGGGCAGCACGTCAGGCCGGCCGGTGTGGTCCTTGAAGTGGGCCAAGCCTGGGAAGGCCCCGCCGCGGCCAGACACTTGAAGTGTTTGCGCAAGATCGGCGCCGGATTGCGGTTCGGCCGGCAGGCTGACGGCGACCTGGCAGGGCACGGCGCGGCGGCAACCCCTTTCCGCGCGAGCGCCGCGGTTCGGCTGTGCCCACAATTTTGGGTCCCGCCCCCCGCGGGGCCCCGCCGTCAACTTGGCGACCCCAAATTACCAGTTACTAGTGTGCGCGTCCTTGCCGTGGCAGTGCCGTGGCAGTGCCCCCGCCACCCTCTGCCTCGGCGAGCTCTTTCCGCCCCGAGGAACATCTCTGTGGGAACGGCGTGTGAAGTCGCGCAGTCCGTGTTCTACACGCCGAGGGCGGGGAGGGGCGGGGCGGCCCAGCGCCTAACAATTCTAATTAACACGGACCATTAGGCGCCAAGTATCGGTCTTCGGATTTGCGAGAGGCGGCGCCGTGCTCTGTGACCCCTCCGCCCCCTCCGCCCCGCCCGGCCCCACCGCACCGCGGACGTTTGGACGTCCTGCGGGAGTGCTAGTCCAGGTCCAGTCCAGGCCAGACCGGCTAGACCAGGTGAAAGACACTGCCTGCATCCGCGAGAATCAGGGCGGTGTCGGACAAAATTTTCCCCCGATTCGCGGGCAGCTGAATTTTGGCCAAGTCGAACAAACGAGGGTCGAACAAAGCGACCGGGTCCCCGAGGACTCGGACTGCACCGCGCGGACTACGCGACGCGCACCTGTCCAGGATCTCGCGCGCCCCGCCCGCGGCACCCCTGGCCACTCCTGGCCGCCCCTGGCCGCGCGCGACGTGCGTCACGTCCATCCGTTTCCTTTAAAAGCGTGCCCGTCCTGGGGGCGGTCCAGGCGGCCTGCACGCGGACAGCGGACGTCCTGCTCCACGACGTCCACGGCCTCGTCGGACTCGTGCGCGAGCGGCACGCATTGGTGCGGCCGTGGCCCCCGCCGCGCTAAGCTGTTTGGCCGCGAGCTACGCGAGCTACAAACGGACGAACACGGCGCGGAGTCGTCCCGTCATCCGCCGCGATGTTCGTCCGCGTCCCCTGAGCGATGAGCACTCTAGGCTGCCTGGCAGGCCGCTTCCGAGCGGCGCGTTCGTCGCGCTGACTCTCTCGCTCGCACTCACGGGCTGGACGGCGTCGCGTGTGGGTGCGACAGGGACAGCGCGCTGCTCTTAACCAGCCTGCGCTGCACGCCGAGGACGCCGAGGGCTCGCGGCGCTCGGGGACCCGGCCGCCCTTTCGCCCCCCCCCCCCCTCCCCCTGCTCCCTCGGTGCCATCCCGGATATTTATGTGCCGTAACCTGCAGGCTGACGGACAAAAAAGGGCGTAGCCCGAAGCCTGGCCTGGCGTGGCGTGCACACCTCATCCGAGAAAATGAATAGAGCGTGGCGCGTGGCTGCCAGCTCGGCGGGGCAGGGCGGGGCGGTGGAGGGAAGGCCCGGCGGGACGGCGGTGGCGTGACTCGCCTGTCTGCCTGCCTGCTCGGTCTGCCCGGCAAGCCGCGCCAAATTTCGCGCGCCATCCACTTTCCGCGCGGCCGATGAAACCGAGAAAAAACAACACGAGAACGGCGGGCAGTTTGCTTTGAGCTTTCCCGTCCTCTCCTCCGGCGCTGCAGCCGACGGAAGCCGCGCAAGTGGTTGCAGTGCAGCGACGGCCGACTGAAAAGGAGCCGAGAGCCGAAAGGAGCGGCAACGCTCGGCAAAGCAGCAGCGCGCCGGCCGGCTTAAGCCGGGGAAGCCCCAGTTGTAAAGCTGTAATAGCGCCTCGCCGCGCGGCGGGACGCAGCGCACGCAGCGCACAGTGTAGTGGCGCCGCGTCTCGCGCTTCCAAATTGGCGGCATTCCGCGCTTTGCGGAGCGCTTTGCGGAGCGCTTCACGGCTTTGCAGCGCTTTGCAGCGACGCCCGCCCAGATCGTCACCTGTTCCGCACACCTGTCTACGAGCCTGACGCGTGACACCGCCGGCGTGGAACCGCGTGCTCGCGTGTGTAAGTGTGTGTGTGTGTGTGTGTGAACCGGTCCTTCGCTACGACGCGCGCATCTCACGGGGGGGCGCGGCGGTGAGGAGGGTGTTTGACATGGTGCCAAACATTAAAAAAACTTGAAGATTGAAAATAAAAATAAATGATAGTACACAAAACAACCAAATTGAAAAAAAAAGGCATTTTGGTTGTGAAAAATAAATAAAAATGAAACGTGAAAACAAAAGCGGCGGCCCTGCGATCGCGACGCCGTTCCCCCGGCAGCGCGTCGCGTCTGGTGCAGGAGGGCGGGACGGGGCCGCGGAATGTACCTGTCCGTATTTATATCCCGGTGGGCGATGCCCGGCGATGCCTGGCGAAGCGGGAACAACGCGCTGCACGCACTGCAGGTCGCCCGCCCCGCGTGGACGCCGCCCCTCTTTCTCTAACGCCTGTTGGGTGCCTTGCCGCCCGATAAGGCACGTCGGGACGAAACGCAACGCGGACTCGAAAACAAAAATAATTCAAGTTGGCGGTTCGTTCGGCGACTGCAGGGCAGGCAGCGGGGAGAAGCAAAAGTGTTTAGAGAGAGAGAGAAAGAGAGAGACTGAAAAGGACGACGGCGGCCCCACGCCGGCAATGCTCACCCAGAGTCTGTCCCAGCACCACGCGGTTGTCCTCGCCCAGGCACGCGCTGCGGGCGTCCAGTGGGTTGGCGAACTGCACGAAGGCGTAGCCCTTGTGCATGGAGATGCCTGCGGGCAGACGGCTCGGTTACTCCACGACAGTTTCACACTCGACACTTTCACTCAGCACAGTGAGGCGCGCTTACCTGCGATGCGGCCGTAGCGCTGGAACATGCGCTCCACCTCGGCCTTGGAGCACTGGAAGGTGTTGAGGTTGCCCACGAAGACCCGCGAGTTGACGGCCTGCGGGTCCTGCGAGTTGGTCTGGTTGCCCACCTTGCTCATCTTCATAGCCAGCCCGGGCCCGGGCGCGCCACGGTCGCAGAACTCGTTCAGCTGGAACAGGAAGGGGGCAACACTGTGTAGGGCAGCACGCACTTCGTCGAGGCGGCGAGGAGAACACGCAGTCGAGCCCTGCCACGCCCCGCTGTCACGCTCCGTCACGCCGCGTGTCACGGGCCGCGTCACGGCGCGTCACGCCGTCTGCCGCGAGGCGCGCGCGCTGTCTCTCTCGCACTCACGGGGCGGCCCGCGGTGGCCGTGCTCGGAGCCCGGCGCCACGTCGTCGTCACTCGATCATGCAGTGAGGGAGGCGAAAATTGCTTCAGTCAGAAAGAGGCAAACCGTCGCTGCTCTCCGCAAATCATGTTTTATTCGTTGCTGGCGGCCGCGGCGCTGGCGGCGCTGCAGGGACGGGCAGGTAGCGTGCGCCGAATGGCCGAATGGCGGTTGAGAAACGGCGAGGAGCGCGATGCGTCTTCGGCGGAGACGGACGCCGGCCGCGGCGAGAGAGTCATGTTGCCGCCTAAATTATGAAAGGGACATTGGAGGGATTATCGTTTGCACGAGATCGCCACGGCGCCCCACCCCCACCCCACCCCGCCCAGACGTTTTCAATGACAGCTCCTTTATCTGCTCGTAAATCCCCGGCGACGCCTCACTGCCCGACTTGCCGGGACAATATCATGTAAATGCCACGCCGACACATCGCCGCACATCGCTCGCTGTCACGTAATGGCAAGCCCCTTCTTCCGTTCTTTTTATTTTATATTTTTTAATATTTGTTTCCCCCGCGGGGCGACACTTACCGCCGTATCGAGTTCGCGGCGCTCTAAATCCCGGCCATCCCGGCAGGCATTGATGGCCCTCGGAATGCCGGCGAGACACAACAAGCCCAGGCCTCGGGGCGCGTCAAGCGCATTACTGTCGCGGTAGCTCAGTTGGTTAAGACGCAGATCACCGTTGAGCCCGTGGTTCGACTCCCGGTGGGAGCGACGTCAACAGATACCACCCATCATCTCTTTTGTCTGATGTCAAACGATGTAGGTCGTGCGAGCGAATCACCCACTTCGTTTTCATTTCGAAAGGAGGGAGGGGGTCTGCGACTCGGTCTACGATGTGCTGGTCTAGGATCGCCGCTGGTCGAGTCGGCCTGGCAGCCGGTCTGCTTGTAGTATCGGGCATTATTTTCGTCTGACGGCGCGCGGCGCGCATAGATAAATAGGCTGTCGGGCCGACAAGCCCATCGAGTGCGTCTCGGCGGCGGCAGGCGGCGGTGGCTCGGCCTTGGCCGAGTGAGGCCGGTAGAACACGCCGCCCGTCCGTCATCCACCGCGAAAACAATAACAAAACGAATGGAAAGGAGGAAAAGAACGAAGGAAGGAAGGGGAGAGAGGGGCGCTGCCTCTTTCAAAAACGGCGTGCGTTTCGCTTCCCGGCCTTGCGTTTGTTTGGAAGGGAAGAAAAGGGGTGCAATTGCGGAAACGAGACCGCAGGACGAAGGGCCGCAGGACCGAACCGTCGACCCGGCAAATTAAACCTGCAGCAGCAGCGCCCCGCCTGCGAGCAGGACAAGCCCCCCGTGGCGGAGGCCGCCAGGCACAGGCCGGTTGCCTCGGCTCCCACTAAACGGCTGGCGATGCTCGGCCGCCCCGCCGCCGCCCCAGTGCGAAGAAACAAGAAACCCGCGGACGCGAACCCGCAGCAGAATGCAAAGCGAGACGTCCCTGCCATTATGCAATTCAATTCAATTCATTTCGTTCCGTTTCGCGGCCATTAGATTGTGTGTACACTTTCTTCGGTTATCATTCACTGACTTTTAAAGCGGCGCCGAACTTTGGCCCCGCCGCCTGCAGCGCTGAGCCGAGCGAGGCGGGCTGTGTTTCCAAGTGGAAGCGCAGGACGAAAGTTGGACCGGGAGAAAGGAAAGGATAGGACGGGGACGCTCGAGGAGTCGGCCCGCCCCGCCCCGCCCCGCCCCGCCCCGCCCCGCACGGCCCGGGACCCAGGGCAAGGCGGCAAGGCCGGGACCTCGCAGTGAGAGACCGAGGGAACCTCTGCTCTCGTTCCGCGCCAAAGGGGATGAAAAATTGCTGGGACCACACAGGAGATTGATTCCGAGACTCCGTTTCCGTCGCTCCGTCTCTCTCTCGCGCGGATGGCGGAGACCTCGGGGAGTGCGACACAGACAGAGCGAGGAAAAGGACTCTCGGAATCGGTCTGCGGCGCCCGTCCACCGCGCACAATCAGCGAGTACATGAATCTGTGACGCGCTAATTTGCCAGGGGACGACACCCGGGTCGGGGAGCGCGAGGGGGAGGAGGCGGGCGCTGAGCGAGATGCCTCGTCCGTCGGCAAGCAATTACGGCGACACCAGCTCTGCACAGGACTCCGTCATTCTCTCTCTCTCCCTCTCGCACTCTGTGGATAACCGCGTAATGAGTGCGAGAGAGACAGCTGCAGTCCGACCGCAGACGGCAACCACCAACTTGGCGGCCGCGCCCCGCGCCCCACCCCGGGCTCGCCGCGTCCCCACCAAGGTGTCCGTGTCCGTTCGGCGGCCCAGCGTCCGGGCGGCTTGAAACCAAAACACGGTGTGCTTCCCGCCCCGCGATGAGCGCTTCCTCCTCGACGCGCCAAAACAGCTCGGCCTTCCGCTGCCCGTCAGGACGACGTCAGGACGACGTCAGGACCACCTGGCGCGCCGCGCCGCTGACGGCCGTACGCGTCGCCGTCTAGTTGGCCGCGGACCAAGGCGTCAAAGAGGTGCGGCCGTGGCGGCCCGGCTCGCCACGGCCCGGCGGAGCTTCGACGTGGCCTGCCAATAAGATGGCTAATTCTAAACGTGCCGCGCGGTCGCCCCACGACGGCAGCCCCCGGTGTTGCCCCCCTTGTGCCGCCGCGCCCCGCCGCCAGCGAGGGGATCTAGCTTCACAGTGCCGCGGGGATTAATCCGCAAGCCAAAGGGCAAAGGGCGAGGCCCGGCGAGGCCCGAAGGGTTAATGGTGGCGCCCTCCGTCCTGCCGCCAGAGTCCTAAATTGTTTTCCATTTCGCTGACGGGCCCGACGCCGCCGCCTGGAGCCTGCTCGGCCTGCTGCGGCGCCGCCAGGCCGGACTCCGGCTGTCTATCTCGCGTTATAAAGCCGTTACTGCTGATGGATGCCTCGGCCACGGCACTGCGAGGCCACCACCACCACCACCACCACCACGCCGTCGGCCGCAGCCCCGCCGTCGTCGCCGCGCGTCTCGGGCCGACCCAGCTGGATGATATGAGGCCGGAAGTCAAGTGGTGGGGCCAGGCCGGCTATTGCGGGGAACGCCCCGCCCCGCCCCGCCCCGCCCCGCCCCGCATAACCAGCATTCCGGCGGCCCGGAGACGCGCGCCCCATCGGGACTGGCGCTCCGCCCCGCCACGCGAAGCTGCACCGCCTCCCCGACGAACGAGTCGGCCGAACGCCATCAGCCGTACCCGCTTCCGAGTACGGTGTCCCCGCTCGGCACCCACCCACCCCGCGTCGCCGGCAACTTGGGCGTCCTGACGTGCGCGGTGCGCGCGGACCCGAGGCCCCCGGCGGGCGGGGCGGGGCGGGGCGGGGCGGGCGCCCCTTCAACTCCAGGATGGGAAACAACTGAGCGCTGCTGGCCCCGGGCCCTAGTAAGAAGTAAGGGTGAAATGACCCAAATTGAATGAGCGCTGGTTGCCCGACTCCCCTCCCCCCCCCCTCTCCCACTACGCCGCACGCACGATTTCCTCCTTGTTCATTGAGAAAAACGGCGCTGCCAAGATATGAGTCGACGGCGAGCCGGCCGGGCCCAGCCTGATTCTCTTCTTGCTTTCCCTCGTGTTTTCCACGGGCCCCGCGCGCACAGTGCTCCATCGCTCTGTCTCTCTCGCACCCATGCGGAACGCCGTGAGAGTGTGACGGAGACAGCAGCGGACTGTTCGGAATCGCCGGCCGGTCCCTCTCTTCCCCCAGCCCGGCGGACAGTGGGTCAGTGGTGCCGGCGAGCCTGGCACTCCCTCGCCGACTCCCAACAACAGCAACAAAACCAACAACAACGCGCTCGAATCGCGGCGGGGCCGCAATGAGTGATGACTGTTGTTTCTCGGCGTGGCCGCGGTGGGCGCTGCGGTCGGCGGGGCAGTGGCTCGCCGCGAACCAGGAACCGGGAGCAGCCTAGGACTCTCGGACACCGCGGCGAGGCGAGAGCGTTCCCCAGGGCACATGCACGGCGGGCACACCACGGCGACGGCGAGCAGGACGAGCGCGGGGATGCTTAGTGCTTGATTAATCGTGGTGGCCGGGACCGCCGGGACCGCCGCGCAGGGCTGCCAACCGAGGCGCCGCGCCGCGCCAACGCGCACATGGCTAATGACGTGCAGGCTGCGGGGGCGGCGGTGTCTTCATGTCGTGCAGGCGGGGCGGGGCGGGGCGGGGCGGGGCGGGGCGACACGGGCGGGGCGCTGCTGCTGGAAGGGCGACGAGCTGTTTGATGGTGTTGTTGTGCTGGCCGGGCCTGGCCGCGCCTGGTGGGGCCGCGAGGCCCCAGGCCGCGCCCGGGGTGAAGCAGCACCGTTGTTGTCCTCATAAAAAAGGAAGATTAAGAGCTTTCCAAAAGCCCACGCCCTCTCGCTTTTCAACCCCCACCCCCCACACACTCACGCAGCGGACACTGTCCAGGGCTGGTGGTGGTGAGAGACTGTCACGCGCCATCGGAAGGGCGTGGTGGCGGTGTAGCACTTGACCCTCCCCTGCGACCTCCCCTTTCACTCTCTCACACACACACTCTCACAGGCACGGCGCGCCCTGCAGTACACGGGCACGCACTATGCTAGGCTTAGCGGGGCGCGCGCGGCATGTCGCCGACGAGGCCCCCCTCGTCGAGGGAAGCACGCCGTTAACGCCGCCGTGGGGATCCGTTGCGTGGCGTGGCCTGGCGGGGCGAGGCGGGGCGTGGCAGGGTGAGGCGTGGCGGGGCCGCCCCGCCTCTGCATCCGGACTGTAAAAGTCAAATCTGCGGCCCCGCCTTGCCTCGCGCGCTCGCGAACTTAGTT